TTTTATTTATTTATTTTCTTATATTAATTTATTCACATTTGAATGGTTATGATTCCCCTTTTCTCTCTCTTCCTTTATCACCATTGATCCATCTTTGTACGGTTATGATTTAGTAACCAGAGATAACATTGTCTCAAGCAGTTTGAGAAATGATAAGCCATATATATATATATATATATGGGATAGGATCAACTTACACCAGTGTAAAAATAATAAATCTTACACTAAAGCTTAACTGTTGATTTCCGTGCATCTAACGGTTGAGATTTATTGGGAATTAAAATTAATTAATGAGTGAGACCTAATAAATATTAACCGTTAGATGAAGAAAATCAATGGTTAAGATTTGGTGTAAGACTTCTTATTCTTACACCGGTGTAAGATGATCCTGCCTCTATATGGGATAGGATCAACTTACACCAGTGTAAAAATAATAAATCTTACACTAAAGCTTAACTGTTGATTTCCGTGCATCTAACGGTTGAGATTTATTGGGAATTAAAATTAATTAATGAGTGAGACCTAATAAATATTAACCGTTAGATGAAGAAAATCAATGGTTAAGATTTGGTGTAAGACTTCTTATTCTTACACCGGTGTAAGATGATCCTGCCTCTATATATATATATATATCTGGGTCAGGATCATTTTACACTAGTGTAAGTTACACTCTCAATCTTGACCATTGATCTCACTTATATCTAAGAGCTCTAATTTTTTAGTAATGTGAACCATTGGATATAAGTGAATCAATGCTCAAGATTGAGTGTAAGACTTTTAACTCTTACACTGGTGTAAGAATATCCTGCCCCTATATATATATATATATATATATATATATATATATATATATATATATATATATATATATATATGATCAACTTACACCGGTGTAAGAATAATAAATCTTACATCAAATCTTAATCGTTGATTTCTGTGCATCCAATGGTTGAGATTTATTGAGAATTAAAAATTAATTAATGAGTGAGACCTAATAAATCTTAAGCGTTAGATGCAGAAAATCAATGATTTAAGATTTGGTGTAAGATTTATTATTCTTACACCGGTGTAAGTTGATCCTATCCTATATATATATATATTTTATCTGGTCGGACCAATATATATAATGGTCAAACTAATTGAAGTATTGAACCCTAAACTGGGGATCTTATTTTATCAAATGTGTTAACTTATCCCAATTAATTAAGTTTAATTTTCAAACGACCCAAGAGAAAGAAATCCTTTACCTTCCAACCATCCAGGGACCAGGGATTCTTAATTAATTTGAAGTTTAGGTGTATAAAATAGATAAATGAAAAATATTTGTTGTTTTATCAGTCAAAGCTAAGTGCTCATTTATAATATTGATATAAAACAATTTTTTTACAATGTAATTTTTTATAAATTATCTTAATTTTCTCAACATTTTTTTATCGAAATAAACAGAATATTAATGTATGTGTGCACATACTTCAACAAAAGTCAGTTTGCATTACTTAACTTAGGCACAGGGATGCTACATTATTCGAATATCAAGACATACTTCAAGAAAGATTTGACTCCGGAGATGTTTGATAGGAGTATTATTTTTAAATGCGTGGAAAAGTCAGGGTGAGATTTCAAGACTCTCATGTTTGATAGTAAATTTGAGAAAAAATTTCCACAATTATCATTTGTCTAGAGTCTATTTTCAATGTAAAATGAGAACAAAAATACAACTCAAAAATACCACTAAGATAGTGGTATTCCAATTTCACTGGGGATATGGAAAATAAATGTTAGAAATTTGACAAAAATAACCCGCTTAAATATATCTTGGACCATTCAGTGTTGAAAAAAGGATAGGTAGAAGGCTAAAAAAAGCAGACAGTATGCTTCGTATTCAAATCAAAAAATAAAAATGTTAACGGGTTAGTTTGATAATTTTATTCACATTAATATTTTACCTTCATTCAAATATAAACTCAGAAAATTTGACCTACCAAACAATTTTTTTTAAGAAGTTTGTAAGACCCATATTTTTTTTCTCTCTTCTCTTCATATGGGCCTCATATATTTTTTTGTGTATTTTGGTGAACATTAGATAAAGTTATCTAAAGTAATCTTATAAACTTTAAACCTTATATTATATATATATATAAATATATATTTGTTAAAAAAAATTATTAATAATTAGAATCTTTCACTTTTCTCTCAAGTAAATATCTCGCTTTAAAAAATTAAATCCGAGTAAAACAATTTCAAATTAAATTCGCCATGTCATAAAAATGTAATCGGCCGCACTGAATAGCAGAAAAGAGTTGGGTTTACTTGGGTTATTCCTTAACCTAGATCTAACTTATTTGCGACTATAATATACTGATTGGTACATATATAACATGTGATAGGATCTGTTTACAATTTTTTTTTATAAATTACATTAAGTATGATCGGTTGTACACTGCATTATTAAAGTATGACCGATCATACTTAGTGTAGTTTGTAAGAATTTATAAACAAAAAAAATTTGTAAATATAATCTATCTTATGTAACATTCTATAACATATAGGATGCATGTTAGCACAAACATGAAAAGCTCAATGGGGTGAGTGTGACAGACGTCAAACAATGTCAGAACTTAACATGCGTCTCTCTCGTCTATCACCATAGTGACGACACCATGCACACACAACATTTTTTTTAAAAGGAGAGAGCGCAGTTAATAGTTGTTGGTTATGTTAAATAATTAATTTAATTAACAAATTATGCCATTTGCACAAAAATTTATTGGACTAAAAATTTCATAATATTTAATTTAATAGCATGGAAACAGTGAGAATTGGAAAACTAATTATTTAACCTAAAAATTTAGTTGTTAAATATAAAGCATATAAACAATTGTATATTTCTGCCCCTTTTTTATATATATGTATAGTGGGAAGGGTAATAATTTTCTTATGTTATAGAATAAAAGTATTATCTCCTATCCAAACAATAAATAGATAAAAGAAAGGAGTTGGAGGTAGAGAGAAAAAATATTAGTATAGGAGATAATATTTTTTTATGCAACATAATAAAAAAAGTATTACCTATATATATATATATATGTTTCTCATATCACAGAAGATAAACTTATTTTTTGTCTTCCTAAAACAATATCGTTTTGGTGCTTAGGATTAAAAACAATGGGTGTTTTGGAGATTTTACTTTTCTCTTTGAATCATGCATTTTACTAAAATTGTGATTTTACTAAACTACCCATTATTTTTAATCTTTAATCCAAAAGCGTCATCGTTTTGCGGCTACATGATATATATATATATATAGGGTCAACGGAAGCCCATGGCATGAGATCACCACTAATGCGCTAAACTATACCAATCACACATCAAGTGGTTTCGACACCATATCTTAACTTAAAACCTTAAGGCATTATTAGGTTACCAACTAATGTAGGACTCCATCACACTTGAATATCTTAATAATATTATCCTCCTCCGGTGTGAAATCTCATATTAGTATGTTCTTCCTCTATCGAATATCCCAGGCCTTAGTTACTCAATTCGCCTCTAGCCAAAGATTAGGAGCTGTAGCGAGGGACCACCACTTGTCTAAGCTACATTAACCATAGTAAATGGGTCCGACCCCATGTTTCAATTCAAAATCGGCATTGAATTTATGGGTCATCCTACTTAAATGGACGGAATAGTGATCATTTTGCCACGTTTGGACAAAAAAATTACCAGACTGTCACGCCAACAGTAAATTTTGCCAAAATGCCACGCAGCATATTTTCGCTACACTGTGTAGTGAAATATGTTTGCAAGTAATTCGCTACACAATGTAGCAAAATATGCTACGTCAGAACCAAAAATGCCACATGTCAAATTTTGAGAAATTCGCTACCCTATGTAGCGAATTTCTCAAAATTTGACATGTGACATTTTTGGTTCTGTGCATTCTGACGTGGCATATTTCGCTACACTGTGTAGCGAACTACTTGCAAACATATTTCGCTACACAGTGTAGCGAAATATGTCGCGTGGTATTTTGACAAAATTTACTGTTAGCGTGACAGTCTGATAAATTTTTTTGCCAAACATAACAAAATGGTCACTCTTCCTAAATGGACGACTTCACCTAACTCATTATCAATTAATATGACACTTTATTTTACTTAAATATCCTAATACTATGCCTAAGGTGTACTTGCGGTTTATCCAGAAAAAAAAAAAGAATGATATTTTTTTAGGCAATTTTTTTTTTTTTTTGGTTACTTTAAAATTCAACTAATAGTTTTTATGGACCAAAAGTAAAAGTGGCTTACAGCTGTGAATGACAAAATCAAAGAAAAAGACAAGGCAAGTTTTGATAGAAGGGAATGTATTTGGAATCTAGATGGATGGATGGATCAAACTAGTGGCACTGAAGGGTATTATTATTCTTATTCAGCACACATGCCGAGGGGAATGTTTATGGGCCCCAAAGGAGCGAAGAAAAAGAAAAAAAGAAGATAGTAGGGTACATTGTGTGTCAGATCTTTGTCAATCTTTTTTTCTTTCAATTGGGTTAGACAAAGGAAGAAGTGGGACGTAAGCAATGATAATTGGCTCGCGTTAATGGTGGCAATGTGGGAGAGAGAGAGAGAGAGAGAGAATGAGTGAATTCTCACTCCTCACTCAACACTCTCAATTCCAAAACTCTCACTATTATGGAAGCCAGTAGGTGGGAGCTTTTCATTGAGGCAGCTTTATAATTTATGGTTATAATGGCTATAATTAATCAACATTTATCTACAAGACTACTTTAATGTAATGTCACGTGAAGATATCAGAAGTCTCACCTGGTTTTATTCTCCTCTAGCTAGTGTAACTTTGATTCATGGTGATGTTGCTGCTACTGACACCCCAAACCAAACCTGAATGTATTATAAACAGCACCACACGGAAAGAAAGAAAAAGAAAGGGAAGATAAAAACAAGAAAGAAAAAAAAAAAAACATTACATAGATATTAACAGCTAAAAACATACAAAATAATATAATATGTATTCTTGTTCTTATACATTATACATTTTTCGAATTGGGCAAGTGGACGGGCAATCAAACCAATGATGGCACAATGTATTGATTGTGGGTTGCCCTGCTCTGTGATAGAATAAATTACATGAAATATATAAAGACCACTACTTAATTTACCCAAATCCCCCCTTCTAGCTACTTGTTAACCCTAAAAAAATGGGGTTAAACTTGATCTCTTCTATCTTTAAACAATGTAAAGTAACCCTTGTTTTCTTAGTACTGAAGCCTGCCTAAAATAAACTTCATTTCGTGATTCCACCTTGGTCATGAAGAGAAGAGCAGCTAAGATATATAAGAAATTAACATGAGAAAGAAAACCCATGTATCAGCTGTTAGCTAGTTATGAAGAAATCCAAACAAGTTAAGCCCAGCATGATCTGAAGGAACTCATTAAATCCCAGAAATAGCTCTAAAGGAAATTAAGAGAATATTAATAGAAAACAAAGAGAAGAAAGTAAATAAATATATTTATGACTTTCTTTAATTACCATGATCCTCCACCTAACATTCCAGTCCAATACCCTGTTGAATCTCCTTGTTGCTCCTTATTATTCTGATCCATTGTAGTAGTGGTGTTAGAAACCTGTTTTAAGTCCTCAAAAGGAAACAAAAGCCTTCCACTTGTCTCTTGAACACCCTGGAGGCTTGTGTACCCACTTCCAATCCCATCTAAAGAAAAATTCAAAGTTGGCTTAAAATCTTGCAGAGCAAATCCACAAGTGTAAACATTATTTGGATCAGCTTGAACTGGCACAGGCATGAAACAATTCAAACCCCTTGAACTTGTAGTGATCCCAGTAAGAAGCTCCAATGCTGAAAGGTGAGAAGCTGAAGCTGTAGTAGTAACAGTAGTAGTAGTAGTTGAAGAAGAAGAAGAAGCTGAAGCAGACATATTGTTGTTGTTATTTTGTTGAACCAATTCAGAGATATTTCTAAAATCCCTGGTTGTGGCTGGGAAACCCAAGTTTAGATCTTGGCCTTGATGAATCTTAGGGTTTTGAGTGCAAGTTTGAGACAAACTTGGAGGTGTGACAAGATCAGGAAGCTTCTTGATGTTGGGTGAAGGTGATGAACAAGAAGCAGAAGATCTCTTGTTCTTCCTTGTGCCACCTCCTACAGGGATGTTTCTGAGGGATCCACCTTCAGTCCAATACCTTCTACAAGTTTTGCAGAAATATCGAGGCTGTGTGAGGCTGTAGTTGTTGTAATAGCAGAACTTTGTGTTTGTTGAATGACACCTTGGACAGTTAATAGCTTGTTCTTTCTGTGGCCTTGGCTTCCTCTCAGCTGAAGGCTTTGGACATGTATTTGTCACTATTATATCTTCTATTGGTTTCACCACGATCTCCTTCAAATCAAAATCAATATCATGCCTAAACAAATTAACTAATTAAAGGGAATCATATATAAAGCATATAGATGTGGAAGTTAATTTAATTGAACCCCATATATCTGTATGTGTCCTGATCAGGATCAAACAAACATCATCTCCAAAAGGGGGGGAAATTATGTACATAATTATGATTTATTTTTCAACTTGTTTATGGAAAAAGCATATGAAAAAGTAAGAAAGCGAAAGGTACATATGTTAAAGAAAATTGATCAGTGGTCACGTAGTTTCACTTGCACCAGGCACAAAAAGGGAAATTGAAAGAATCAAAAGGCAGCTACAAGCTAAGTATGTTAGATATAAGATGAAATCATGAAATTAACCCGTTATAAAAAATATTTAAGGAAGAAGAAGTATGAATTAATTACTTGTGGCCACTGAGCTGTGTCCATGGATGGATGAGTGAAGATGAAGTGGATCAAAGGATGAAGTTGAAGGCAACGCAAGCTAGCTGTCCTCAAATGAAGTTGAAAGAGGGAGTGAGAGAGAGGAATGATGCTGGCTTTTGTAAATTACTTGAAACTGTTGCAGAAGCAGAAAAAGGGAATGTTTTTTGAGAGGCTTGTGAGTGCGGGACGTTCTACATGAATGAATGGATTACCTTTTCCAACTTTATCAATTTAATATAGTCAGATAGAAGAGAAGATGGGTGGGTTATTCAATCAACGAGCAGGTTAAAAAAAATGGTTTACAATTATATATCATGGTGATGGATCCGTTTAAGTATTATTAATTATATATTTTTGATTGAAATATGATCGATCATAATTAATATAGTTTGTAGGAGTTTATAAACATAAAAGTTTATAAATATAACTTTTTTCATATATTATATATTATAAATAGTATATATTACTTAAGTATATATTATCTGTAATATATAATGTTGTTTATAAAAAAAATTGTAAATATAATCATACTTTTTAATTAAGTATAGTTTTATGTTTCAACTTCTCACCATACTATAAAATACAAATATAATTTTTAGGGAGAAATCATAGTTACACTTTTTTTTTTTTTTTACAACCTCTTACAACTATATATTATAACTGTTGATTTCCGTCAATCAACGGTTATGATTTTTATAAATTAAATTCATTAATTAATTATTAATTCATAATAAATAACAATTATTGATTAACAGAAATCAACAGTTATGATATATAATTATAAAAAATTGTAAAAAAAAACAATTGTAACTATAACATTTCTCTGATTTCTGTCTGTGAACATTGAGAATATGATATTCCAAGCACCGATAAGGGTGGCCCTAGGAATATATGTCTGCAAATTTAAATTTAATTAACTCGCTAGCTTAGCTGCAAAGGCCTCCCATTAAATTGCTATGTTTAAAATTAAACAACTATGTAAACAAATCTTTTTGATATGACCACTGCAGATTGCTCCATTCCATCCTCGTAAGTCGTAACGTCTTTTCTCTCTTCTTTGTCCCATTTCGACTTCGCTTAAAAGACCCCGCGCGAGGAATTAACATTCATTCAATTTTTGACTTTTAGTTAGTTTCTCGCTTAATTCTTAAGAGGACGTTTCGATAATAAATGTTTAGAATATTAGAGAAATGTAATTGATCGAGAAATGGTTGAAAAGTGAGTTTGGTAGAAAAATATAAAAAAAGTTGTTTGGTTAGAAAAAATTTTACTAGGCAAATTAGGTAAGATTTATAAAGTCTATGTTTGGTTTGAGGTAAAATATAGATGGAGAAATAACTTCAAATTATAAATATAATCCCATAAAAAAAAGTGAAACCTTGTACTTTAGAAGAGGGTATTTAAGTCTATTAATGGGTTGTTTTTTTGTCATTTAGCTAGCTAAATGTAAAATACCACCCTCAAGTTATCTTTCTAAACAGTAACTTTATCTTGCTTTCTATGAACAAATAAGGAATGCTATGCAAATACAATACTTAGGGAAATTTTGTAAAACCATCTACCAAACATTACTTTCTTACTTTGCCAATTTGATTTGCATAGATAAGTTTTAAGAAATCTTCAACCAAACACCACCTAAAGAGTTTTGAAAAGAGGTTTTAATTAGAGGTTATTATTTGTCATTTTAAATGACGCAAAATGATATTATTTTTAATAAAATTACATTTTTTTATATTTTTATATATATTTTTCTCCACTTTTTTTTAATTTTATAAAAAAAGAGAAAATGATAAAGTATATTAAAACGATGTAATTTTATTAAAAATGATATAATTTTGTATCATTTAAAATGACAAACAATTTTCTCTTTAATTAAAATTTCTTTTGTATAAAAAAAAAATATTTGGGTAAAAAGCGTAACCTAAATAAAATTAAGCCTGCGTATTTTGTAAGATCTGGCCTAGGTGTGGTTTAGATTTTCGTTTAATTTAGTCGCATTGCACTATTATAATAAGTAGGATACACATGTATTATAAACTAGTTATGAAATTAAATTATTTAATTATTTTATAATATTAATCACAAACTCATTATTTATTTATTAACTAATTTAAAAACTTAAAAAAGGTTATTTATACAACTTAATTATATTTCAAGCTATGCACGTTATTTCAAGTTAACATCAGTAGGTCAAAATCTTTCTTTCTTTTTATGTTACCATCAATTAATATATATATATATATATATATATATATATATATATATACTGAATTAATTTTAAACTTGTGAATTTTAAATTAAGATTTGATTGTTTAATTGATTATATCTGTAAAAAAATTATAATTAAATCGTAATTAAAGCAAAAGGATAGATTGAGATCTTAAAAAAATGTAAAGATTTGAATAGTAAAAAAGTATTTTTCTTGTGATAAGATTAAAATTGTAAACATAATTTAATAGATACAAATATTTGAAGTATCAACTGCATGCTCTCTTAGTTTTTTGTCATAAAAACTTTAAGAGTGAATACTTTTTTGGTTTTAGTAAATTTTTCGATAGTTCCTAGCAAATAAAAAAGTTCATCGTGGTCCCTAAGAAATTCAATATGGATCCATTTTAGTCCTTTTAGGGACTAATATGGGTCTTTTTTAAATTTGTGAGGGATCACGATTTCAACTAAATAGGTCCATTTTGAATTTCTTAGAGACCATGCTGGACCTTTTTATTTGTTAGGGACTAAAACAGACATTATAAAATTTGCTTAGAATCAAAAAGAATATTTACTCAAACCTTAAACCCTAACTTCAAGAGTATCTTGGTTTACTGGGTAATGTTCAGATAGAATATACAACTATTTCACGATCAGATCGATTTTATACATATATAAAGATTTCAGAGGAGAAATGAAAGAGAAATATAAGTAGGTAGGTTTTATAGCTGTTCGGTAGGGATGATCATGTTAATTGACTTTCGCGCTATCTAAGGGAGCGTCTTTCCCACTCTCATGCGGGCCGCTAGATATTCACCACATTTGTTTTCAAAGCATTTCCTTGTTCAACATATGTAATTATGACCAATGTGCATTCATCAGTCAATTTGGAAATCTGATTCGAAATTTATTCCTCAGTTTGACTTACGTACCCTCTAAATATACTAATAAGCCTAAATATTCAACTATATGGTTCTCTAGCTACCATTCTACAATTGGGCATAATGTGATCGCCAACGATAAGATCCGATTTTGTATGTTTCTTTGTCATTTTTTTCCCATAAAATTTTTATACCTTTGCATGGCTGGCACTCTTCTGTCATTAGAGTTATATGTTGAGATATATAGTCTCACATTGGTTGTATGTGCAACTAATGTGGAGTTTATAAGGCATTGGGCACTCCCACCTTTTGAGTTAGCTATTGGGGTGGTGTATCCTAAAGTTCTTTACACTATACATAATTATCATAATTTTTTTTGCATTTCTTGAAGTATTTGTAAATATTTTTGTGTATGAATTAATGTAGATAATTTTTTTTTAATTAATTAACATAAATTAATTAGTTTTATTATACAAATCTAATAGCAACCAATTTTCTTTGGGTTCTCTGAGATGGTAACAAAAAAGGAAAAAGTGTTTCTCTCAGACGATTATGTTTTACTGATACGCTAAAGCTATTTAGGCTTTTTTTCTGATATATATGTGGATCATTTCATCTCCATATATCGCACATGCATCGTTAGGCACAAGGATGGATGCATGGAATCATTAACTTAATGATTTTCAGTGAATATAAATGACAGACTAACATTAATATAGACTGCATCACAATTCATTTATTAAAGAATATTTAACTTTGAGAATATATGCACATTCATTGTATACTTAGAATATGTTTGGAGCACCTGATAAAAAAGATAGGATAGGATAACTTATTATATCTTATTTTTTTTTTTTTTATAACATTATATCTTACTTTTATCTCTTGTTTGGTGGGTCAATATATATGATATGATTAACTTATCCTATTGTCTCATTTTATCCTATCCAATACATGATTTATTATCCTATAGGTGGAGCTGGGTTAGGATTCAACAGGATAGGATACCAATATTGATTGGATACCCAATATATCCCCACGCCACCCAATATATTTATATTTATTGTATTATATTTTATTTTTTCTTTCTCCTTTCTCCTTTCTCCTTCTACATAATCTTATCAGATTATTAATCAGGTGCTCATCAAATATAGGACATGATATCGGCTTATCAGCTCCATATCATATCTTACCATTATCAGTCTCATATCATATCATACTCTTATTTTATCCTATTCACCAAAGGAGCCCGTATCATCTTATCTGTGTTTTTTTTACTTTTTAATTTTTGAACAGCGGCAGGTACGTGTTGTTAGAGATTGGATGTGAAAGAAAAGTAGTCGTCATTAATTTGAGCCTTGGATTAATTGCTGATTCAGCAATAAAATTAATCATGCATTTTTTACGAGCGTCATCACTTGTCATGAATGAAACTGACAACAAATTGTAAGGGTTCTTTGCTTCATTTGAAGACCGAGAATTTGTTGTTTTCTCAACATAGGTGGTAGTGATTAGTGAATGTTCTTCTATGGGCCAAGATCCCTTTGCGATTATGAAAGTAGGTACAACCCCACAAGTATTCACATGCGTAGCAGTTCCTAGTCATGAGTCACATGGCGCAGGTATATATGTCTATGATACGAGGAGAAATGCCCACTCCCCCCGGTGTCATAATGCTACGTTTGTCTATCCAATACCACCCACATTGGGAGATCCCAAAATCTCATTCACTGAAAATGAAAAGTATGTAACCTAATGTAACTCTAATAAATGTTTTAATAAGGTTAGTGGGGCCAGTTTCCTAGCTCCTTGTAATCATGGCCTTTGATTGATGAAATGGGACCCCCTCCGCCTTCACCTCCACCTCCTTACAATTATACATAGGCCCCACATAGGCATCTTTTTTCTGAATTTTGCACAAGCTGCTCTCCAGTCTCCTCTTTATCTTTCTTTATTTGCATCATTATAATTACCCACCTAACCAGGTTACAAATAGTCAAATATAGTAACAATCCCTCTGTTAATTACAGGTTCAAATCAAATACGAATTGGCGGGGCCCAAGCCAAATTAAACAGTGCTAATATACTATTATTGTAACTTAACATAACAT